GTCTCTGCCTCCATCTCTGGCATCATTGCTTCTCTGGGCAGGGTCCTGTACTCTGTCTGCTCCCATCAAGGACCTGGACTGCAAAGTCAATCATTCCCCTCCTTTTGCTACAAAATGTCTACCTTTACATTTCCAACCCTCACAGTCAGTCCTGATAGCGATTATTCACTATTAAAGTACATACATTTTTAACTTTATGGAAAACATACAGTATTCTCTTCCTTGCAAAGTTCATGTTTTTTATGCAAATGGATAACATTTTCTTGACATTATTAAAAAGTATATTTAAAACTGCTGGAAGAGGGACAAGTGAGAAAATCAGAATTTTAATATTGCTGAACTATATCTAAATTAATGTACCTGTACACTTACAAATTGTATGTTGGATAATATTGTACTTAAAATAGATTTCTTTCTTTCTGTACAGAGCTTTTGTGTTGCCTTACACCAAGAACTCAAAGAGTACTACAGATTACTCTCAGTTTTACATTCCCAGGTAAATATTTTGTTTCTGTATTGATTTATTCATGGTTTCAAGTATTATTAAAATAGAAGTCATATAGAATATTTTACATTTTTTCATACATCAATTTTAAAAGATAAAATCTTTTGCTAACCTGAGGGGCCTTCAAAAGTTTGTGGAAACATTCCATTATTTCTTTAGTCCCCCTCTTCATGAGCATTTTGAAGTCCAGCTGATACAAGTATATATATGATAAAGTATGTATATCCACAAAGCTTCATTGTACCTTAGAGCCAATTAATCCTTAGTTTTCTGGATTCTTTCTATTATTTAAATAGATCATGGGGAATATGAAAGAACTTTTGTTCTCTCATAGGGGATCTTTTACTTCGTTTTCAAAAGAAAAATCACTTCCCAGTATTTATTTTATATGATGTAAAACATGATGTGATGTATTTGGTTATTTGTTCTTAAACGTATTGTTATTTTTCAGCTACAATTAGAGGATGATCAAGGTGTAAATTTGGGACTTGAGAGTAGCTTAACCCTTCGCCGCCTGCTGGTTTGGACATATGACCCTAAAATAAGACTGAAGACGCTCGCGGCCCTGGTTGATCACTGTCAAGGTCGTTCTTTGTTCCTGTGCCTTCCTGGCTTGCTTGATCTCAAAGTGCTTCTTAGGAAACATCATCTACTTGTTTTTGGACTCCTGGTTTTCACTTTAACAGTCATACATTGTTTGACTAAATACAGATTAATTGATATGAACTTATAGGAAAAATAACCAGTTTCCAGAGTAGTATTTATACTAGTAGAAGCACGGGATCCCATTGAAATGAAGACAGGATGCTGGTTAGTTTTGAAAGATGTTCTGCTTCATCATCCTTGGTGCTACAAATTTTTAAACAGCACCTCCATTTCTCTACTGTTTTTGTCTCTTATAGTATAGCCTAGGGTTTCTTTTATGGGCTGCTAACCCACCAGGTCCTCCTCAGAAACCCTAGACGAGCTGCATCTGAGTCACAACTGACTTGATGGCACTTAACAGCAGGGATTCATTGTTTGCTCCAGTTTCTCCCTAAGGTTATATGTCAATCCAATGCTTACCAGCTGTGCGTAAAATGACCAGGTGTGCTTTTCTGATTTATATTTAAGGAGCACTAGTGGTGCAGTGGAAGCAGCTCTGGGAGTATAGTGGTCACAAGTCGGGCTGCTAACCTGACGGTCAGCAGTTTGCAACTACCAGCCATTCTATGGTTGAAAAATGAGGCTTTCTGCGCCCATAAAGATTTATAGCCTTGGAAATCCTATGCCAGGTGGTTATGAGTCAGAACCAGTGGCACAGTTTGGTGCTGTTGGATAAAGCACTGGACCAAAAGGTCAGTTTGAACCACAAGGTTGGCAGTTCAAACTCACCAGCTGCTCCCTGGAAGCCTACACAGGGTCGCTGTGAGTCGGCACTGACTTGGTGCCACTTAATAACAGCCCCCTCCAGTGGTGTGGTGGAGTCCTGGTGATGCTATAGAGAATGCACTGGACTGCAGGGTCGGTGGTTCAAACTCACCAACCACTCCTCAGAAACCCTACTGTATAGGGTCGCTGTAAGTGGGAACTGACTTGACGCACTTAACAACAACAAAAGTGGTGTAGTAGTTAACATGCTAGGCTGTTAACTGAAAGGTCGGCAGTTCAAAGCCATCAGCGCCTCTGTGAACAAAAGCTGCGGCAGTCTGCTTCTGTAAAGCGCTGTAGCCTTGGAAACCCTATGGGGAAAGGGGGAAATCATGGATGAAGCACTGGGAGCCCTAGAAGAGGTGTAGTGGGCCCTTTCAGGGGTGTGGTGCAGGAGATTGACTGTTTGCCAGGACTGTGGGAAGCGACACACATTCACAGTGGCGTGTTTTTATAGGTAACTGGGACCCATCTTCTAGTGATCAGCTCTGTCGGTCACAGGATTTGGATGCTGGGCAATTTGTACACTGCTCTTGCTTTCTAAGAGGAAGCTCACATTTCTGGCAGGGCGTTGAACTGTGAGTTCTCCGTTCTGGTAATTGTTCTGATGCACCCACATTTTATACTTTCCAGTCTGTTCTGGTTGGTATATTTGCCAGTTACTACTGAACGAATCAGACTGCGAACCTTAAGGTCAACAGTTCAAAACTAACAGCTGTTCTGTAGGAGAAAGATGAGGCTTTCTACACCTGTAAAGATTTACAGCCTTGAAAACCCTGTACAGGGTTGCTATGAGTCAGACTGACTCCACGGTACTTAACAACAACAACCGAACCAGGAAGAACTGGTTCAAATCCATGATGCTAATATTAGTCAGGAACCTCTTTCTATTTTTTTCTTCATCTCTAACACTGGAGTGGAGTACTCATACTATTAGCACTTAGGACTTGTTGTGAAGATTAAATGCAATGTGAAAAGCAAGTAGTATGATACATAGTTGCGAGCTCAGTAAGCATGTGCTACTATCATCTCAGAATACCAGAAAGATTTTTATCTGTTTCTTTATTGACTATGCCAAGGCATTTCGGTAACACATTATAGATGACATTGCAAAGAATAGGAATTCCAGAATACTTCATCGTGTCCATCAGTCCTTTGAACAGAACAAGGGGAGGCTGCGTGGTTTAAAATTAGGGAAAGTGCACGTCAGGGTTGAGTCTTTTTCCTACACTTAATTCAATCTGTATACTGAGCAAATAATTTGAGAAGTTGGATTATATGAAGAAGAATGTGGCATCAGGATTGGAGGAAGACTCATTAACAACCTTTGATATGCAGATGACACAACCTTGCTTGTTGAAAATGAAGAGGACTTGAAATACTTACTGATGAAGATCCAAGACTGCAGCTTTCAATATGGATTGAACCTCAACATAAAAGAAAATGTACATTCTCACAACTGAGCCAATAAGTAATGTAATGATAAATAAAGAAAAGACTGTAGTTGTCAAGGATTTCGTTTTACTGTGATCTGCAATCAGTGGCCATAGAAACAGCAGTCAAGAAATCATGTATTATATCACTCAAAAATGCTGCAAAAGACCTCTTTAAACTTTCACGGGGTGGGCAGTATACAAGACACAGGGCGGTATGTAAGGGCTAAGGTATGTAAGAGATTGCGGTAAATATACACAAGCGTGGAACAAAAGTGTTCTGTGGGTAGATGGACAGACACACAGAATGAACAGGTATGGAAGAAGAGAAGGGTTGGAAAGAGGGTACCTGAGTGTTTCCCTTCGCTGTAAACACAGCGTGGTGGAGCATCCAGCAGCAAAATGAATACTGCTTCCTCCATGTCATCAGACCTCTTCAGGCAGTGAGCAGCTGGGCCTGGGGGCTCAGGACCATAGTGTCGGGGGACGCCATGGTCTGTTGGAAGAACACAGTCCACCAAGACTACGCTCTGCATCGTGCTCTGGTGAGTAGTGTCTGAGATCTTAATAGCTCATAAGCAGCCATCTCTGGTCTCTCCATATGTGAAAGAAAGGAGAATGATGACAACTGAAGATGCTTGGAATCCCCTAGTCCAGTGGAGCAGGTGAACATCAGTCTTCACAAGTCTAAGACTAGAAGGTGCTCAACTACCAGTATCAAGTGCTCTGAAAGGGATTACATTCAAGGTTCCAGGCAGAGTGGAAGACAAGGTGGAATAAAATGAAAGAAAAGGTGGCATTAAAAAAAAAAAAAGAAAAGAAAAAAGACTGCGCTTGCTGGTCAGAAAGACAGTAGAGGAACCCAAGACTATGACCTTCAGCCGCCTTTCAAGTCTAGAAAGGAACTCACCCTGGTGGTCCAATATCAGCTAAGAAGTAGATGGGGCGGGCAGCAACACTAGTAAGGAATGGTGTATCGTTCAAAATGAAAGTGACAGCATTTGTCTATGGACAGGGTTGAGAAGGAAGGGAAGGTGGGTGGACTTTAAATAGACACCATAGAGAGGAAGTGGGATAAGTGTTGTTGCAGGGAGGGGATTGCAATAATTAAGATGAAACATAATCTGTAATTTGTTTGGTGTAAAACGGAGGCTCTTATCTGTAAACCTTCACTCAGTTCTCAATGAAAAGTTAAAATAAAAAGACCTCTTGAAAGTAAAGAGCAAAGATGCCCCTCTGAGGACTGAGGGGTGCTTGAGTGGAGCCATGGTGTTTTCACTGCCTTAAACGTGTGTGAAATCTTGACAATGACTAACGAAGATCAAAGAAAAATTGATACTTCTAAATTATTGTGTTGGCAAAGAATATTGATTGTAAACAGTGAACTTCCAGAAGAATAGACAAATCTGTTTTGGAAGAAGTATAACCGAAATGCTCCTTACAACGGTAAGAATTCTCATGGACTTTGGACATTATCGAGAGAAGCGAGTCCCTGAAGAAGGACCTCACTCTTGGAAAAGTGAAGGGTCAGCAAAAAAGAGGGCGACCCTCAAAGAGATGGAGTGACAGTGGTTCCAGCATTGGTGTTCCGTATAGCAGTGAGAGTAGGGATGGCTCAGAAGGGGATAGTGGGGCATTCTGTTGGACGTAGGGTCACTGTGAGTTGGAACCAACTTGGTGGCACCTAACAATATCAACAACCATCATTTCTACAGGCTGACTCACAGAGACTTGACTGTCACCATTTCGAAGACTAAGTGCAACAGCATGCCTCCATCCATGCCTCCCCATGTCTCCTTGAGCTCGCTCTCAAAAACGAAGCGTCACACATGACAAATCCACACTTGCCATGTTTCCAATCACTGGCGCTCTACCATAGTTGTACTCTTATGAGACTGACTGTCCTCTGAATCCACCATCAGTTTGAATGTCCAGTTCATTACAGAAGTCTCGGTGGTTTTCCGTATCTCAGATCTCTGCCTCTACCTCTGACCCCGTCACGCTTTTAATAATCCTCTAGTTTCTCGGTTTCCAGTTTTACCTACATCCATTTCTGTGTCCACATGCCAGAAGAATTTCACTGAAATGAGATTTTTGTCAATATTTTGCTTAAAATTTAGTATAAAATTGTGAACTCTTAGCATATTGTATGAAACTCTTCATATGCTTATATTTTTATGTATTATTTCTGTCACTCCTGATATTTCATATTGAGTTATCTTACCAGAACATAGAGAACTACTGTTCATTTGTTGTTGTTGTTATTAAGTGCCATCAAGTTGGTTCCAACCCAAGGGTTTTCGAGGAGCAGCTGGTGAGCTTGAACCACCAACTCTGCAGTCCAGTGTATTAATCCACAGCACCACACCACTATTTGTGTAGAACAGTACTTTTCAAACTGTAGGCTGCAACGAGTGGTTTGTGAAATCATCTAGTGAGTAGTGAATTGAGCCCTGCGGTTAATAAAAAAGAAAAGAATATTTTACAATTTTGCTACATAAGCACATTCAAGACAATTATATTTCACCTCTACAAATTAGAAAGGACATGATCTTAAAGAATGCTTCTCTGATGTATATATACTTTTAACTAAGAAACACTATATTTTCATCTCTTTCTTGGAAAGTTGATGCTTTATTTACTACGGGGCAATACTTTCATAACATTATGAAAGTATATATTGAATCCTCTCTTGTGCAGTGAGTCAGTTGTTTTGATACTAAACAGCTCTTTAGCAGTAATGAACCAGATAGTGACTTGCTCAGTTAGAATCTTTAGCGACAGTTAGAATCTTTAATTTCTTCCATTGAAATCTATTACCTACTTACTCCTGCTGCTAGGTTAAAAAAAAAATGGTATTAGCTATCAAGCAAAACACTTCATCTTGATTATGTTCTCAGCTTTGATTAATATTAAGTTATTGTTTTATGTTGTAAGTTTACATTTGTATAATTTTCATCTCTTATTTTTCCCCTTTCCCATAGGACGGAAAGGTGGAGAACTAGCATCAGCTGTCCACGCTTATACAAAAACAGGAGACCCCTACATGAGGTCTTTGGTACAGAATATTCTTAGCTTGGTATCACATCCCATTCTGACTTTTCTTTACCGGTGGATATATGATGGAGAGCTAGAGGACACGTACCATGAAGTAAGTCATCGCACTGTACAGATGTTTTAGATTTGATTGAAAAAGCTTGGGAACTTCAATAAGTCCTTTTTTACTTTTCAGTTCTTGCTTTAGCTCTTAACAGTAATACTATCACCCTTCTGTAAATGACATCCACTTTCCCACAGTGCTTTGAAAGCCCTATGACCTCAGTTTTAATAGTAAGAAGTTAAGGCTCAGCAAGCTCAAATCACTGGTGCAAATTGGAGACAAAGCAAGGACTAGGCGTGCTTGGTGTTAGTAGGATGCTCTTCAGTAAAGTATAATGTAGTACGTGGTTTTACATACTTTTAAAACGCGCTTGAATTAACTATGTTGCTAGAAATTTTAAAGAAACTAGCTAGTTATTTGTGTGTATGTTTACGTACCAAAATACTGTCAGATGTGCTTTATAACATGTGCTTCTAAAAATCCCATGTTGTATGATCTTTATGCTAAATCACACAGTCAAAACCGTATAAAGTTTATGACAAAATGTGGGGTTGAGGCATCATACTCCAAAACCTTGGCAGTGACATTAAAATGTAGAAAGATAGGAACCTAATAAAAGTGGTAGCGAGGATTAGCATAGGTTAAAATATTAAGAAACACATAAATCCTAAAATAAATCGTGGCACTTTGCCTTGAACAAGCCGAATGCTTATGGAAATGACCTTTGGAAGTGCTGCAGCTTGTGAGTTATTGTGAAGTGGTCAAAAGACAGTTATTTGGAATTGGAGCAAAAGGTGTAACGGCAGATGTGGTTGGATGGATAACACATGTGATGACTGAGGTTGCTGGTGGGCTCTGAGCTTTCTATCTGGGGCGGGGCTGGGTCTGTTCCTAAGCACTCAGCACCTTGGTTCAGCTGGGTACAGTTCCTACAGTCCCCCAGTGTGTTTCGTAGGTGAACTCACACATAAGCTAGCATGAAATTGATGTGAAGCGCGTAGCGTTTCCTTATATGTTTACTGTTGTAATATAAATGTTTTAAAAACAAGCATTGAGCTGAGCTGTGTATAGTACTACTTTGTTGTGTGCGCCTTTGAAGCACGTAAGTGACATCACCATTTATTTATCAGACTTCAAGTATGAGTCAGTTTGCACGATTACTTTATAAACTTTGTACTGCTTTCCATGACAGTGCATTTAGGAGTCAAGAGCTCTCTTGGTGTGGCAGGCTAAGCTCAAGGTCGGTGATTTAAACCCGCCAGCTGCTCCACAAAAGACAGATGAAGCTGTTTACTCCCATAAAGATCGACAGTCTCAGAAACCGTACAGAGCAGCTCTGCTGTGTCCCACAGGGTCTCTGTGAGGCAGAGTTGGTGCCATGGCAGTGGGTTTGGGCTCTGGGTTTATATATAGGTTTACCTTATTAATATATGATATTTCACTATATGGGCATACTTTTTTTATTTACCTACTTTTAAAACAAAATATTTTTTTAAGTTTTTATTGTGAATTGAGTGAAAGTTTACAGGGCAGATCATCAGTTTTACATTCAACAAAACATGCACCGTGTTTCATTACAATGATTATAATCCCCTCCATGTACCATCAGTTCACAGTATTTCTCTCTATTCACTTTAACTCTTTTTTTTTATACAGGCATATATAATAATTTACACCACCAAAGGGCACATTCTGCAAGTCTGCCTCCTGGCCAACAGCTCTTAGTCCCTCTATTCCCATGAATCTAGAGTCCTCAGCTGCTCTCTCTCTCCATGTCCCATTTCTGCCTCCATTTATGGTGTCGCTACTTTTCTGGATAAGGTCTCACATTCTGCTTGTGCTCATCTCCCTTGATGGTCCTAGGGTCCTCTGTTTCTGGACTGGAAGATTAATTATTCCCCTGTTTTGATAGAAAACTTCTGCCTTTACAATTGTGACAGTCGCAATTAGTCATGATACTAACAGTTACTCCCTATGGAATCTTAAGAATCTGATCCCCATCTCTTTTCACCAGACTTATCTAGACAAGATGAAAACTGTTCATTGGGATTTTCTTTCTTCCCCCGACACACTCTTAAATTAAACTCCCTTGTAAGCTTGTAAGCTGGTCACTTTGTGCCTTTTTGCTCCCTCATTTTAGGTAACCAATGTCTAAGTTGCCCGTCTTTACCTACCCTTTTATTAATGGAAAATTAATTTCTATTTACATTTTAACATTAAAATGAGCATCATTTTTATGTGCTTTCTTACCTATATTCCTGTACAGATTTAAGAGTTTCTGTAGATACTGGGAAGGGGCGTTAATGGGTCATGTGGAATGCATATATAAATATTAATACTGCCAGCTTGTACTCTAGAATGGTTATACTAGTTTAGTCTCTACCCTTGCCAGCACATATACGATCTAATTTTTATTAAATTGTTTTTAATCTAGTGTATAAATTATGTTCGATGGTTATTTTTACTACTTTAAAAAATTGCTTGTACATAGACTTTACCTCTTTTTTTTGTGTGTGTATGGATTTGTATGTCTCTTAAAATTTGGATCATTGGATGACTTTATATATGTAGATACCTTGTGTCTGTGATTGCAATTTTTTTCATTTAATTGTTCTCATAACAGTTTGATTGGGCATAATTTTAGGTTTTATAGAAGAGCAGTAAGATTAGTGCAAAGAATTACAGTATAGCCTTGCTCAGAATTCCCCAAATGTTGTAATTTTGCTGCATTTATTACATACTAAGTATACTGGTGGAGGCATGGTGACTCTGTAGGATAAGCATTGGATTGCAAACCACAAGGTCGGCAGTTTGAGCCTACCAACTAATCTCTGGGAGAAAGTTGAACCTTTATGCTCCTGTAAGGATTTAAAGCAACAGGTTTTTATGAGTTGGTGTGGACTTAGCAGCACTTTACAGCAACAGCAAGATGTCGTCCTCGTGTTCCCGTAGATGCTGGAGTCATGTTTTCTATTCCTTTGTCAATATTGATTGATAACTGGTGAACAAGTCCTTTTGTTCTTTTCAGATTTCCATGCTGAGTTTTCCCATCTATACTTACTTATAAATTCAGAATCAGTTTTATGTTTTATGTTTCCTATGTTCATTTTAAGGAGCTCTGGTAGTGTAGTGGTTACGAGTCAGGCTGCTAATCTCAAGGTGAGCAGTTCGAAACTACCAGCTGTTCCACGGGAAAAAGATGAGGCTTCTGCTCCCGTAAAGAAACCGTGTACAGCATCGCTATCAGTGAGAACTCAACTCCGCGGCAAACCTCCACCGCCACCCGCAGCCATGTTAATTTTGGAGTCCTGGTATGGTGCTGTGGGTTAATGCGCTGGACTGCAAAGTCTGTTTGAGCTGTAAGGTCAGTGGTTCTAGCTTACCAGCTGGTCCTTAGAAACCCTATCCAGGGTCAGTACAGGTTGGACCCGACTTGATGGCACTTAACAACACCACCAGTGGCCATATTGCTTTTTTTTTTTTTAATTTTCCTGACTTAAGAATTGAAAGCTTTGAAAAGTAATATGGGGTCATTTTGTTGACGGTGTACCTGTAAGTCTTTCAAAGCTTCTTTAAAAGTTTCCCCCCCCCCCCCCAAATGTCAAAGTCAACAGTAAACTAGTTTCTGTCTTTAAACCAGTCCTCTCCAACTAAGAGATGGAATCTTGCACTTCTTCCAGGCTCTGCCCTGCTTAGTACTTATCCTCTGTATTTTTTGTTTAGATGTAGATTATTTTACTATTTTTAATATTTTACATACAGTTTTTAAAAATTGCCTGTTTTAAGATTTTTTTCAAGTTTTCTTGGTTTTATATTTCTGTGTTTAACTGGTGTTATTACGTAGCACCAGACCCATGAAGACTTCTGTGTGCTGAGTTGTACATGTGGAAAAGAGTACAAACCGCAGGTGCATCACTTCACGATTTAGTACACACTGAGCTGACACTCAGGTCAGGAAAGAGCGCACTGCTGACTCGTGTCATGCATCCCACCAATCCTGATTCCTGCCCTTCCTCCCACGTCAGACACTAGTGTTGTTAGTGTCATTGGTTCTGGCTTGTGGCGACCCTGTGTAGGGTCTCTGAGGAGTGATTGGTAGGTTTGAACAGCTGACCTAGTGGTTAACAGATCCTGTAGCGCCATTCCACACCACGTAACCATAATTTGTCTTTTGAAGTTACATGTAAATGAAATCACCAAGTTTGTATATGTTAGAATTTATTTGCATGCCATCTCTAGGGAAGAATACTTTAATACATCATAGTTAACTGTGAATTTATAGTTTTATGAACAATTTCTGGAAAGTGCCGCAAACAGTTGTTTTTAAAGTAGAATTATTAAAATTTAGTTGCTTAACATTTAATAGAAAAATTAAATGCTTGTACTATTATTTTTATTATAACTTTTATGGTAAGGAAACATAGGTAATATTTTTCTTTTGATAGGGTTAAACTTGTCATTTTTAGTGCCTGTGAGATCTATTATTCTCTAATTACAGGATAAAGTATATTTTGGGAGCTGTTTAAAAACCTGTGCAATTAATTATTTAGAATGCTTATTAAATCTCCTGACTGTTATCACAATAAGTCAAATTATCTGAGTTTTATAAATTTGTCATTTAGTGTTTAAAAGAGTCTTAAGTGATCTTGTGGTTGAGAAAATGAAAAATAATTGTTCCTTTTCTGGATGTGGGTATTTGCTTTTTATATTGCTAAATTTTCTGTACAGTCAGCTGTGTGTAGCTTTGTAGATTTATGAGAAACAGCTTGACCTTGTTTGAAGTGTGGAATAGCATCACAAAAAGCAGTTTGGCCTTTGTTCTTCGTTGTTTTGGACCAGACCAACAGCTTAGGTTCAACACAGGGTCTGAGCGGAACAAGTGGGCCCACTGGGGAGCCTGACGCTGTAGCCTCCAGAGGCATGATGTGATGTATTGTGAGGACAGGGAGGACAGTAAGAGACTGCACTCCTGAGACTCACAGGAGCTTCCTGCTCTGTGACCATGTGGGGGACAGGGTAGTGGATTCCTTTTAGGAATAGAGAAGCACTGT